CTCTCTCTCTCTCTCTCTCTCTCTCTCTCTCTCTCTCTCTCTCTCTCGCTCTCTCTCTCTCTCGTCCTTTTCTGTCTTCAGCTAATATCATGAAGTCAGAAAAGCCCAATAAATAGTAATTAAAAAAAACATACCCTTAATTTATTTCTATGAGACCAGCTGGTGCCTGGCTGCTTTTGCCTCAGAACCACTGGAAGAAGCACAGAGTGCTTAAGTCAGTCTTTTCCCTGTTAAAGCTCGATGTGTTTATTGTGGCAGCAGCTGTTTCTCATGTTGTTGTGTGTTATGGCCATCATGGGAGGTTCTTTGTTCAAATAGTTCCCAATAGGTCAGTAGGAATGGAAATCTCTGCCATAGCAGGCCTACAAACCAACTACAACGGTTGGTTTGCAATACACTAATTACTATCACATTAAATGTTAACCTTGTTGGAGCTATTTATTTGATATTAGTATTTTGTTGTTTAATTAATAAGTGGTATTGTTTAATTATTTTATTAGATTGATTGTTTGATATATTAAGATTACTTTTTCTCTTTAATAGTCATTTGTTTAGTTGTATTATTTTTTGTTCTTTGGGTAAACACTGTGGGCACCTGTGGCTATATATAGGAGTAGATAGATAGGACCAGCATGCAGCGGGGTGGGCTTATATAGTTTTTACCAGCACAGGTGAGACAGTGTAAAACAGGAGTTTTCTTTGTTATTTTGTTAGTTTGCTTGTTTAGTTTGGCTTACTTAAATAAATAAGAACAATCTACTCTCCTCTACCTGCTCTGAAAAAGTTATATTATGAAGCAGCTTGCAAACTACAGTCTATGCTTCCAACTGACTACTGGTGTAGTACCGTATCTGTCCAGGAGAGGGCATTATTTCAACATAAAATGTTTAAAGCAACTGCAGTGTGAAGTGAGATTTGGAAATGTGGCGACAGACTTTCAAAATGATTGCAAAACATTTCAATGTGTGACACATGTAAAGTGGCCCTGTCATGCAGCATGACAAAAACAGTTCAAATGAAAACAGTTATTTGTTGGAAAATATTGCGTTGTAGGCTGATTACATTTATATATAAATCAGAGTTGGTAATATGTCTGCTGTAATGTCATAATCTGCAGGTGTGAATTCTCACAAGGGTCATGCCCTACAGTGCCCTCTCTCTGGGTGTATTGTCGACATTTTTTATTGAAATTATTGAACACTAAATCTGAAGAATGTCTCATTATGACAGTTGATCTTTTTTTTAATTTATATTTTTTATTTAACCTTTATTTAACCGGGTAAAATCAATTGAGAACCAATTCTCATTTTCAATGATGACCTGGCCAAGAGGCAGTAGCACAGTCCACACAAGTTACACAAACAACACAGATACAATACAGTATAACAAACAATGGAAAAATGACTAAAAACAACCTAGATAAAATAATAAACACTATGTACAAAATAAAAGGCAGATTACTGGATGTTATTAGTAAAAAAAAATGGAAGAAAGAAAGAGAAGTGAGGGCTGGTCAGCAAGTACAGCAGTCAACTATAACTTGTTGCAGCTTATGTTTGAACATGTTGAGAGAGGTGAGAGCTGTTAGTTTGAGTGTGTTTTGTAATGAGTTCCAGTCCTTTGCAGCAGCAAAATGAAAGGAGTTATGACCAAACACAGTACGGACTTTTGGAATGATGAGCCTAATGAAGTCACTGGATCTTAAATGCCGATTTCTGTCAGAAATGCACAGAAGATTTGAGAGGTAATGAGGAGTCATTCCCAAAATGGATTTATAGACCACAAGCAGCCAGTGTTGTAGCCGCCTGGTATGAAGGGAGGGCCAATCCACCAATCTGTAAAGAGCACAGTGGTGGGTGGTGAAGGGTGCACATGTGGAAAAACGGATTGCTGAGTGGTGGAGTGTGTCCAGTTTTCTGAGGGTGGTCTTTGATGCCATTTTATAAATTATATCGCTGTAATCAAATAGAGGAAGGATGGTCATTTTCACAAGGAAAATGACCTTGTTTCGAAATGACCTTCCTTGTTTCGATACAGGAAACCCAGTCCAGCTTTGACTTTAGCCAGAAGGTTATTGATGTGTATGTTAAATGAGAGAGACGAGTCCAACCAGAATATTAACCTTCCAAAACCTCTTATGGGACACACCACAAATGGTAAAAATCGGTTTATAAAACTTGACTCTCCACTTTAGGAGTGTAATAATGTGACATGCAAATCAATCTGGAAAAAGAAATCATGATTTTACTAGCCATCTTTCGCCAGTAGATGGCGGTAATGGTTATACAGTTAAAGCAAAAATAATGCACATGAGTGTTGCAACTCCACAATGAACAGACTCTGAAAAAATAAATAAAATATCCTGTCCTGTTTTACCCCAACCAGCGTGCATATTTAATTATCTGCCTTAAAAAAGTATTTTGGCCTTCAATTCATTTACTCTTCATCCTAAATCTTGATATATAAAGAATAAGGAGAATCACAGCAACTTGATGCCCTCTCAACATTTTGAATATAATCCTATACTTCTTGTCGCAGTCACTGTTACTATCTCCCTTATTTTGTGGAACAGAAACAAACCAAGAAACAGAAACAGAAAAAAATAAACTTTTAGAGTAAAAGTGAGGTTTTGAAATTACATTTTGGAATGATTCAATATTGGTTTTACATTCAATTGTTGCTATAAAGGCACAAAATAAGTCACGACAACACTTTCAGTTATGATGCTGTGGGTAAAATATTCATGGGGCATTTCGTTTTTGTTTGTTGTAATAATACCAAAGGGGGAAATGTTTAGTTGTCGGGGTTTAAACATGCTGTCATAAGGCTACTGACACTGCAAGTCCCTATAGGGGTAGCAGTGTGTTTTAGTTGGGGCACTTAGCTGAAGTAAACAGAGAGGGAGGGGAGTGCGCGCGAGAGGCTTTTGGAAGCAGACATGCAGACAGCCGACCACTGCGAAAGTGTTGCGCGCGGGACGGACTGGCTGTAGCCCACACCACTCCTCCTCTGTCCGAGGGAAGACCCCCAAAACCTTTTGCCGTGATGCGCTGCTCCCACTCATCTCAACCGACAATGTGAAAAAAACAAAACAGACGGAAACGATTGTCAGATGTTTAAAGTCATCGTCGCTTCATTGTGCTCGAGTGCCGCCTATACCTCCAACAGCATCACACAGTTCACGCAGTCGGGGCTACAGTACAGGCTGTCCACGGGGATACCTGGTGGGAGATGCGGCAATGTCCCGAGGATTGTGCCCACGCGTAAACTCTTCTTGCGGGTCCGCATGGATTCTGTCCGCGCTCGTGCTTGCGGTGAACGTGATCGGCGCGGACGCGTACAGCTGTCATGAAGTGAGGACCGCTTTCCAGCTGCGGCAGGTCGGGCCGCCGAACCGCGTGCCGGAGACACCTGGCAGAGGTGAGCCAGCGGGGTTTTTTTTTTTTTTTTTGGCGCCTCAACAGTGAGGAGCACTTTGGATAAAGCGCACTGCAAAAACGTGCACGGTTCGTTAGTGGATCCGCAGACACATGTCACACATTTAGCTTTAAATACAATGTTACAGATTTCAGCAAACAGATGTGCAAATGTGTTGAAAAGTTATAAATATCTACCTCGACAGTCTTTTAATTAATGTCCAATGCTTTTAACTATTCTGTGCTTCTGTCAAAAGCACACGTGGGTCCGTCTCCCATAAACTGCACTCAAGTGACAGCAAACAGAGTGAAAGGCTGAGAGACAGAGCAGAAATGTTTGTCTCTGTCTTCACTTTCGGGACATTGTCGCTCATATTAGTCCTGATAGTTGTTGAGACCTTTTAAATGGTTGACCGTTAAGTATCCGTCTGATGTTGGGTATGGGGAATGCTCTTTGGTTATGATGTGTGTTTCTAAAATGATCTTAAAGTAAGTAAAGTCTGTATGATACTTATGTATTTGGCAGTACTTTTTTGAGTAAATTCCAGGCATCATGTCGGTCCATTGTCAAAAACATGTATCATGTGTATTGGTGTGGTCCAGGTCCGGGCAATATGACATGCTCAAGACAGCCAGCAGAAAGGCAACATCTCATCCGTCTGGTTGAAAGGGTCAGCGCCTCTTGATGTTTGTCACAATTTGCGGCTTTCACGTTCCACCCTGCTGCTTATCATGCAAGCGTGCTGTTTGGAGAGATTAAACACTTATTCTGCAGAGTGTAACTTGCCCGGCGGGTTCACAAATTGCTGAGACGGCCGTTTCTGAGCAAGAACAAGGCAAAGTGTGATGCAACGGTCTCGCATTGGTTTAATCTCTGTGGATTAAGAGGCGACAATGTTGCGTCCACACAGGGGCCAGTGATTGATTTGTAATCTTCAGATTGACTTGCAGAAGTCAGACACCACAAACTCTTTTTGGCCTCTTTAGCTTCATGGGTTGGCAAAGGCCCCGAAGTGTCCGTGCTCTTGAGCTCAGGGGCCACAGTTCACTCTTAGCTCCTCTGTGGCTCCCAATTGTCTTTTTCGTCAGATTTTTGTCTGAGCGATGCTTGGAAGTAACTTCAAATGCCTTTAAGGTTTTGTGGTTTGTGCTTTCCTCCTGCAGGCTGAGGAGAAGTTATTTTACGAGAATAAACATTGGTTCCAAATCTGTTTTTGGAGGCAAAATGCATTTTTAGAGGGTTTAGGCTTTTTGTTCAACTATGCTAGGTTTGCCTGAAAGTCTTTTTCTGCAAGCATAGTAAGAGACTCCATCAATTTCAACTAATTATGTCATGCTTCTCCAACGTGGGGCCATTTTAATTGTCATATGAACACAAGAAATCGAGCTATTCAGTGTGCATCATCATGCCGTTCTCTAGCCTTTGTCCTTTACTTTTAGTCTTTTAAACCTTTAACTCTATTTTCCTTTATTGTGAGTCCTTTTAGTCTCTGATTTAAGTGCATTTTTTCCTGGCAAATACTCCCATGCCGGTCGATGAGTGCACAGCTATCTACAGTATGTGAAAGGCCGGAATCCTTGCAGCAATGGTGTCACATGCAGGTCGGTGGCAGCTTAAGTATCACCCAGTCTGAGTCTGCAAGCTTTAACAGGGAGAGGAGCGACAGACAGCTGAGTGGGAAACATACCCAGAGATGCATCCAAACCATTCGATATGTTTGTTTAGCGGGGTGTCACTACTAGCAACAGGGGACGTGGATTTCACCGCGTGCGGTACAGTTTTGGGTTCGCTCTTAAAAGACAACGGAAGGACCTTGGCTTTTACTGCCTGCAGACAGCATTGGCAGGAGCTAAATGTGAGAATCTCAGGCTGCAATCGCAGCTGTTGATGAGCATTTGTATCTGACAGTGAGCGAACAGCAGCATTCACACAGTAAGAGTATGAAGGGGATGCAATAGTCTTTCCTTTTAATGGCTTCCCCCACCTCCGTATCTTATTTCTGAGGCCCTCTATCTACGTTTTTGCAAAAATGTGGGAGGTATGATCCAGATACCTAAATGCGGGCTCTTTGGTCAGCACTATTAATCGATATGAATATTTGTGTTTGTTCAGAAGGTGTGTTGAACTGCGTTTTTGTGCGTTCGCACTCTGCTGTCCCGTCCCCTCAGCAGCTAATCAAACATGGCTGTAGCTTCAGTACATTTTGGGCTTCTATCGTATTTTTTGTTTTTATTTGCACTTGTCCCAGAGAGGTTGTTTTGGGTCAGGCGCAATCTTGTCTTCAAAGCGCTGACCAATGGAGGG